ACGTCACCCGAAATTTGGTAGGACTAATTTTGGCGGAATTTAAATACAAAATGTGTATTATCCATGCATACAATCCACTGAGATACAATCTTAAAAAGTAAGATATATTGTATTAAGGAAGTAAATGGGGACGAAACATGAAGGGGACGAAACGGCAAGGCCGGGGACGAAACGTGATGGGGACGAAACGGCAAGGGGACGAAACGACCAGTTACCTGTATGCTATAATCCATTAAAAATGCCAACGAACGAATATAAGCCCAGGATGTATATTCAGAGATTTGCGGGAAGCTTAGTAAATTGTCACTTTTTACCTTAAAATTTTAGTTGCTATATTAATTCTTTATCTTGCAATGTTTGGACAAAATACATGCTGCACCCTTGCATAATGTAACCATTTACACATTTTCTACAGCATGCATGCGGCTGCAGTGGCGCGTTGAAGAATGATGGACTACTTCGTACTGACATGCACGCAGACACAACTATTGTGCAGAAAATTAGATGTGGTTGAAACCGCACTTATATGGAAATACGCTTTCCGGGCTTGTAATTCCGAAGATTTTCGAGGGATCGTATTCCCAGACTCCCCCTAGCAACCTTCGCCGCAAATTCGCGTCATCTCAACGACAGCCGCAATCCATTGAACCGTTCCGCGGGCTCTGCAAATTGCAGTTTCTGTACATTATACAGTATACAAATAATGAATGTTTATGAGTGTAATGGTAAGAATATTTTCATGACGTGAAATTAAAGATGGACAAAATAAACTAATTGATTCGTATGAGAAGCATTTTGACGGATGTGTTTTATCGAAAACACAAAGACTGCAATAGAATAAAACGTATGGTACAATTGTACTCGCAAAGAGTGCAATAGAACGTATTCCATTGCACTCTTGGGAAGTGGAATTTTCTATTCAATATCACGTGAACAAAATCAGCCAATTAAACGATCAGAATTCAATAAAGTATTATATAATTTATGCTGTCTACAGCCTTTCACAACAGCGTTTAGCAATAAATCCTCGAATTTTCTGGAAAAATGTACGTTTTATTTCGCCGATTGAGAAAAGCATGTTTTAAAATAATCCATATAGTTATCATAAAAATGAAAATTAGCTCCCATTTTCACAGCTTTCTTCAAGCCTGGAATATCTTGCGAAATCTGTTCCACTTTATCAGCCAACGTTTCCAAATACGATAAATTTTCGACACCACTGAACAAGTTATACTCTCTTAAGAAGTACATTGGCAAATTCTTCATTCGTAATGCTCGCACTAACTCTTTAAGCATTTGAAGTAAATGGGTCGCAATATTATCTTCAATCCATGTTTCTGATGCTGACTTCTCGAGATGCCATAATCCTATAGTTTTCAAATGATAAGAGGTCAGCGTTTCCTTGCTGTCAGGATTACATGGTATTAGGAATTTAATGACGGCTTTAAATGCTCTGATAACCTTATGTTGTACTTTGTTTAAGTTTTCTATAAGAATTCCTTCTGCGCGGGAAAATGACAATCGGAAATTGCCTGCATGTGAACTTTTAGCCACGATGTGGAAGCCCGCTTTAGTAACACTTTCGATAACATCCCTGGAAGGCCAATTGCGCTCTCGATGTATCCATTCCAATGCATTTTGCGGCCAACCATCGCAACGAATTGCTAAGACAAGATCACTGCAGCGCCAAATGTGTTCCACCACAGTTTTGAATAAAGTTTTCCAAAACGGTCCATGAAATAAACCACGCGCACTATTCCTGGAAAGCTTTAATGCAGGGCTGTCCGTAATTGGATTGCATTGCTCTGAAGTAACGCGAAAGAACCTATCACCTTTTGAGTAATTTTTGTACAGATGTTCTTTCAGTTTGTTTGAAGAAAGCTGACATATCCTACCTTCCATTGCATGAGACGCCGGCTCTAGTAAATACGACTGCCATAGTTTTAGCAAGTTAATGTCCGAGAGATATGCATTGACGAAGGGAGAATTTTCACTGAGAGATAAATCTCCGCATACTTGATCCGCGTCAGTAAAATGTATGTTTTTGAGTATGCACAGAAAGTCCACATCTGGTGGATCAAATGTATATGGATCATATAGAACTAACCCTTCAGACCAGCTTCCAGAAAGAACTGACTCATCAAGCTGAAATGGAGGTTCCGTGTCGAAATATTTGCTCAATTGTTCCTGGATTGGCAGGTTCAAATATATAAATTCAATGCATTGTTTTAGATATTCAGGTGCGTCCTTTAAGGCAAACTTTTCAAAATACGTCTTCACCATATGCGAGAAAGATTTCATTCCAGCTTGGAATCTTGGTACTTTTTGTAGGACTTTATTGAGATCATTGTATTCTTGAATGTTTAACTGCGCCATTATATAGCGTTTGCTCTTTGCTACAAAATACGAAAAGGAGTCCATCATTTCATTGGAAATGTAACAAGCACCTTGTTTATATAGGTGCTAAATCTAAGAACGAAATTTGACTAGGGGAAAATACAGCATTATTGACAGGGAAAAAAAGCACTATGACAGGGGAAAATACAGCACTATAACAGGGAAAAATACAGCACTATATATCACAGGGGAAAATACAGCACTATGACAGGGGAAATTACAGCACTATATATGACAGGGGAAATACAGCATTATGCATACTTAATTAACAAAGGTACGTCCAGACATGGAAAAAAGTGAGATCTCGGGATCCTGGATCCTGAGGAACATTTTCATGAGTAACAAAACTGGGGAGCATTGTGAATTTGCCACATTTTAAAGGATCTAATCGTGTTTTAGATCATAATGTGAAACAAAACTCCCTTTGAAAGTATGAACTGCAATAATATAACACCCCTCCCCCTCCGCAAATTTGTTCTTGGGAAATTAATTTATCTAGATCTCGTGGTGTTGGTCATCTCGACCATAGTTATCTTATATACACTAGATAGTGCATCTAATTATTCTGCAATTCAAAAATTGAAAGCGTGATTGCAGACTCAGGATATTCCCGTGAAATGAGAAGATTCGTATGTTTTCAATTTCTTAAACAGGAAACTTAAATATTAAGTTAAACCTATTCCAAATACATTTTTAAACTATTCAAATGATGGAAGATGTTGTTGTTTTTTAACCGTTTATTAGCGAGTGGGAAATACCAACATAACCGCCATCTATTCAAATGGTGGTAACCGCTGAAATATTCTTGGCTTCAATTTTACTAAAAGAGATGCGCTATCTAGTGTATAATTATAACGACCAATCATCCGTCAAATAATGGCAATATAACTGAGCTTGAAGAGTTTTAGATTCTGGACTCGATTAAAAAATACTACAGTATTTCATAATACTATAGTTTTATTACTATAGTTCTGCGTTGGAAAGTGGAAGAATATTTTTCTTCAGTATCTATTAGCCAACTTAGGGCATTCAGTATTCGTTAGCCAACTTAGTCAAAATATGAATTTCTGAAGACATTCTGTCCGAATTTTCATGCATGTGTATCAATGCCACAGTCGAGTACTTCCATACTTTGCTGCCAGTATGCCACGAGAAACATATCTCCTAGTCGTGTGGCCTATTAAACTATTAAAGAAACCATTGGTTCCATTCTTCAGTTGAATGAACAAAATAAACAACATTTTACAGTAGGTAAATACAAACTACAGCCAATTTTATATACAGTAAGCTCAGTTTCAATCTGCCTAAGTAAGGTTGCTAACTATAAATATATTGATACTTACTATACAAGATTGAAAGTCGTCTATAAGTTCTTTATGCAGTAAAAATCAATAGCCGGACTAAAAGCTAAATCCAAATATAAAATATCATCCCAAACAGGAACCGGGCATAGATATTCAAAGTGGACAGTGGAGTAGAAAATCAGATTGTGATTCTGAGATGCATGATGCCTCTTCACGATAACAGGATACTAGATTCGGGATGTTTCCTTTTTAGCATGATAAAATGAAAGAATAAAATGAAAACGGCCAACAGGAAAGGTATTACGGAAAATTCATTTATTATGCGGGGATGAAAATGTCTTGAAAAACCTTTTGTGGAAGTCTTTCATTGGGGTTGAAAATGTCTTGAATGTAGGGGGAGAGAAAAATGGCTTGAAAAAGGCTAATATTTATATTTTACAGGCCCTTATTAATGTCGCCGCAAAAGTTTCGACAACCACCCCCCCCCCCCAATGATACAATATAAAATGTTCAATCTCACCTTCCCGCTCTCCGTTGAAACTATATCGCTTTTCCTATACAGCTAATTGCTCCGTCGGGCGTAGTCCGAGGGAGCTTTAAAATGCTATTTTTCTGTCTCCTGGTGTCACAAAATGAACATTTTACAGGTATATCGGTGTATTTTATGGATATTATGGGAGATTTTGTAAGCACGCTTCAGTGACCTATATAGTTCAGTTTAAGAGCTACTGTGACCAAATTTTCATTTCTGTTTTTTTCCATGATTGTAAAGAATGCGTATAAAGAAGCTCTCACGCAAAATTTTAGCGTGATATCTTATATTTTGCCTGAGTTATACGACGATGAAGTTCGAATTTTGGCAGCATATTGGAAAGTTCAAGTGTTCGGGAGTCTTTGACGTCATAGTCTTAACAAATGCTTGGCGTGCAACATAAAAATATATAGGCGACTATATATAGTAAAACTCGATCATGCCTTCGTCGCGTTGTGTTGTACAAGATTGCAGCAATACTTCTGACAAAAACGCGGGTAGATCATTGCATAAGAGCCCAAATGACGAATCGTTGAGAAGAATATCGGTTAGATTTGTTCAAACTAAGCACGCCAATTTTTATCCAAGCTCGCGGGAAATTGGATTCATGATTTGTTTGGACCATTTTTCAACGAATTGTTTGGGGCGTTTATTTCATTTGGATGGTTTGCAAAGACGAATCAAACCAGGTTCTGTGCCTACTATTTGGAGGAAAGCGCCTGCGCAACTAACAACAAGAGACAGGCGTAAGGTTTAGTCAGATATGAATATATTTTAGCTACATACATATTTACATAATCTGATAAGTCCAGACAATTAATAAATCACGCGACAAGTGTTGTTCTCATATTATTGAAAATAGGTTTAAATTTTAAACGAGTTGGGCGAAACTGCAAACAAGACTGATACAAACGAGGATGAGCCATCGAGCTGTTTTTTCAAACTCCCTGTAAGCTCGCTGATCAGTATTCGGGTATGTTGATCATATTTTATTGTAACAACAACACGGTAATGTGAGATGCCTTGAACTGCCCGTAAAATCTCACACCAAACCACAAGCTGTCTGTAGAAAACTGCGCGTGAGAACCTATAAAATATACAATATTAAATAAATGGGCGCGCACAATATGTTAATGCTTGTTTAATAACAACATCGGCATAGTAGGCATACTTCAGGTTGACAGCAGTGACCACATTTAAACCTTATAAAAAATGCAAAATAGAAGTTCAGAGATACGTTTTAATTTATTACTCCGGCAAATAAGAACACAAACTTACCAAGACGATACATCAACATGCATGGCCTTCAAAACGATTTTGTAACATATCTTTGAGCTGTTCGTCTTCTGCTACAGCTTACCTCGTACACGGCTACCTCTTCAGGCGAGGCAAGCGGCTCCAGCAATAGTCAGCAATAGTATCATCAAATGGCAAAAGTTCATTATCAAGTTCGCTTGAATTCGCTGTTATATAAACAGATGAGATGCGGGAGAATCTGTTTCAGACAAATACTCCGAAACGCTACTAGATCGCGACGAAACTGACATTTTAGTTCGTGAAATACATGCGATGCCCTACGTTTGCTTCCTAATTCTACTTGTGCCCTTGCGCTATGTTGAGACTATGACGTCAGAAGCCTCTCGTGACAACATAAAATCAAGATGGCGGATTTTAATGGCGGACAGCGATTTTGGACATTTCAAATGCTCGTAACTCCGTGGTTGTTAATCATGTTCGCCTGAAATTTTACACAAGTATTTTTGGTGCAATAATAAAGTCGTTGCTAGCAAAAAAGGGAATTTTCTCGATGATGAATTTTCGTCACAGTAGCACTTTAAAATCTAAACCTTAAAATCTAAGCGTGTAAAGCATCATGGGAGCATCATTTAATCAGTTTAGAAATAATATACGGGGCGCATTTTTTAGAGGCATGGTAAATATCTCCTTATATGAGAACAATTCGTTCACAAGTAGCTGCAATATCCAACTACTAAGCTTGAATCTTGTGCTCCCATTAATCTTTGCGCGCTTATTAGAGTTTAAGGTTTGATGTTCAGAGTTTAACTTTAAGGTTTGCCAAATTCTTTGTTGAATTTGTCGTATGTAAGTAGTATAGGGAAGAGCGGTTCTGGCGCGGGTGGATCGGGTGGATCCACCCATGACGTCATCACAGTATAATTTCGCATAATTACACGCGCTTATAATATATTTAAAAGGTGTGGGCCAATGATTACGACATTTTAAGAAAAGTTTTAAAGTTTAATACTTTGGTAATATTTATCCCCACAGATATTCCTTCTAACATACTGAATGAATTTTAACACGTTCTCCATATATATTCTACTAAAGTTGTTGTAATGCTTGTGGACGTAGATATTGTACGCATGCGCAGTGAGAATTGTGTATTACAAAAATTCCTGACTTATAAGAGTTTGCAAAGATTCCGGGTGGAATTCGGCGGAGAATATCCCAATTTATTCAAAATTCCCCAAAATTATAAATGACAATAGAAATAGAGTATAAAAGGTATATTTGAATTCATCGTATTACAAGGTTTTATTAGATTATTTTAGAGTGTCCACTACTTTAACACCATCCTTGGTTTTCCTGAAGATACATTCACCATGTTCAGGACTATTAAACAAGGAATAATAAAAATTCAGACATACATATGAAAATTTTTAAACAGAACTAAGAGTTGCTAAGCCGAAGTTAAAATCGGTGTCAACGTACGCCGTTGTTATGGCCGATACTTGCATACTACAGAGTCATTAAAAAGTGATTAACCCGCCCACTCCCACACTTTTTTTATTTCACCCAGCGAGCTTGAAACAGGAAAGAAAATACCAACGAACAGAGAGTTATTACAGATTATATGCAGGATATATCGAAATTTTGTTGTTTGTAGCTATCTAAAACGTATGCCGCCAAAGTCATTAACACTCATTAACCAAAGTTTAATTTCTTAAGTGTTTATTATGGATAGATAAGGATTATTTATTACGCGGGCGTAGACCTTAAAATCAGGCGCGTGGATTTGCAGGTATAAACTACCACAAGAATTTAGTGTACATTGTGGGTTTTGCGAGATATTTCGAAATTTTGTTTTTTGTGGATATCTAAAACGTATACGGTGAAGGTCATTAACAGTCGTTAATTGATTACAAGTGTTTATTATGGATAGATAGGGATTAATTATTATGCTGGCGCAGTCCTTAAATCGGGCGAATGGTTTTGAGGGCAAAAATTGCCACAAAGTTTAGCTCCCCTTCTATGGAGCTGGCTCCGGGCCTAATGGAACTCAGCTCCGAGGAAGAAGACTGGATAGATTCATCCTTATCTTTATCTTCTTATCTTGATTATCTTTATCTTCTTATCTTCCCTATCCTTATCTTTATCTTCTTATCTTCCTTATCTTTATCTTCTTATCTTCCTTATCGTTATCTTTATCTTCCTTATCATTATCTTTATCTTCCTTATCTTTATCTACCTTATCTTTATCTTCTTATCCTTATCTTTATCTCCATATTTTCCTTATGCTTATCTTCTTATATTCCTTATCTTTATCTTCTTATATTCCTTATCTTTATCTTCTCTTCTTCATTATCCTTATCTTCTTATCTTCCTTATCTTTATCTTCCTTATCCTTATCTTTATCTTCTTATCTTTCTTATCCTTGTCTTTATCTTCCTTATCTTTATCTTCTTATCTTCCTTATCATTATCTTCCTATCTTCCTTATCATTATCTTCCTATCTTCCTTATCCTTATCTTCGTTATCTTTATTTTCGTTATCTTTATCTTCTTGTCATTATTTTTATCTTCCTTATCTTTTGAATAATTGAGTACTAAGATTGAATCCTTGAAACCTAAGATTGAATAATTGAATCATAAGATTGAATCATAAGATTGAATCATTGAATCATAAGATTGAATCATTGAATCCTAAGATTGAATAATTGAATCATAAGATTGAATCATTGAGTCATAAGATTGAATCATTGAATCATAAGATTGAATCCTTGAAACCTAAGATTGAATAATTGAATCATAAGATTGAATCATAAGATTTAATGATTGAATCATAAGATTGAATCATTGAATCCTAAGATTGAATAATTGAATCATAAGATTGAATCATTGAGTCATAAGATTGAATCATTGAATCATAAGATTGAATCCTTGAAACCTAAGATTGAATAATTGAATCATAAGATTGAATCATAAGATTGAATCATTGAATCATAAGATTGAATCATTGAATCATAAGATTGAATCATTGAATCCTAAGATTGAATAATTGAATCATAAGATTGAATCATTGAGTCATAAGATTGAATCATTGAATCATAAGATTGAATCCTTGAAACCTAAGATTGAATAATTGAATCATAAGATTGAGTCATAAGATTGAATCATTGAGTCATAAGGTTGAATCATTGAATCCTAAGATAGAATCATTGAATCCAAAAATGGAATCTTTGAATGCTGAGATTGAATCATTGAATCCAAAAATAGAATCATCGAATTCTAAGATTGAATCATTGAATCGTAAGATTGAATCATTGAACCATAAGATTGAATTATTGGCGAGTGTGTTCACCCGGGAAAGATAAAAAGTTTTCCTTGTCCCTACTGTTACAGAAGCGTCTGTGAAGCTTCGCGGAGCCAGCTCCTTAGGCTCGGAGCCAGCTCTTTAGGCTCGGAG